CTATACTGTAGACTGGATTGTAGACTATGGACCATGGACTATCTATGGACCATGGACTATAGACTGGACTATGGACTATACTGTAGAGTGGACTGTAGACTAAGGACTATGGACTATGTACTATTATTATTATTATACAGTATTTATAAAGCGCCAATAGTTCGCTCAGCGCTGTACATTACAATGGGAGACAGAACATGTGACAGAACAATACCAATACAATGTGATACACGAGGGGATCGAGGGCCCTGCTCCTTGGAGCTTACAATCTAGGAGGGAGGGGATGGTGGTACAGGAGGAAAAGCTGTGGGGGATGGAGTGGTAGGAAGAGTGGAGGAGGTCGGCAATTAGCAGGGGGTGGGGTAGGCTTCCCTGAAGAGGTGGGTTTTCAGGGTGCGCCTAAAGGAGAGGAGAGTAGGTGATAATCTGATGGGTTGGGGCAGAGAGTTCCAGAGGATGGGTGACACCCTGGAGAAGTCCTGGAGGCGGGCATGGGAGGAGGAGACCAGTGAACTAGAGAGAAGGAGGTCTTGTGAGGAGCGGAGAGTATGTGTTGGGTGCCATTTGGATATTAGGTCGGTGATATAGTTTGGGGCACACTATGTACTATAGACTGGACTATGGACTATAGACTATGGATTATGCATTATAGACTGGACTATAGACTATGGACTGGACTACAGACTATGGGCTATGCACTATAGACTGGAGAATAAATTTTGGATTATGCACTATAGCCTGGAGTAGGCACTATAGACTACGGACTATGGGCTATAGACTGGACTATATGGACTATGCACTATAGACTGGACTATGGACTGTGGACTATAGACTGGACTATGGACTGGACTGGACTGTGGACTATAGACTGGACTATGGACTAGACTGGACTATGGACTATAGACTGGACTATGGACTAGACTGGATTATGGACTATAGACTATGGACTAGACTGGATTATGGACTATAGACTGGATTACAGACTATAGACTGGACTATGGACTATGAACTATAGACTGGATTATGGACTATAGACTATGGACTATAGACTGGATTATGGACTATAGACTGGACTATGGACTGGACTATGGACTATAGACTGGACTATGAACTATAGACCTATAGATGGACTATGGACTAGACTGGACTATGGACTGGACTATGGACTAGACTGGACTATGGACTATGGACTGGACTATGGACTAGACTGGATTATGGACTATAGACTGTGGACTGTGGGATTTGCAGTGTTTATAGAGCTCTGTACATGGCCACAACTAGTGTGCTCTGCTTGTTCTGCAGGAAAGCGATGATCGGGGCTCACAGACTACATTCCGAGGCAACAATGTAACAAAAGTAGAGGATGTGTATGGATAATTGTCGCCAATAAGGACATTGTATAGTGTCACTTTAACAGACCAGAATGGAGCCAATAAGAGAAGCTCGTTGTCGGGGGGTACATACACTTTAAGTGTAGAGGTCTGTGAGCACACTGCTGAGACCCCGGTGTTTCTCCATCACTAATCCATACATTGGTAGATTTCCCAGAACGATTGTATGTTCACCATTCACACAGATCACCATTCACACAGATCACCATTCACACAGGTCACCATTCACACAGATCACCATTCACACAGGTCACCATTCACACAGATCACCATTCACACAGATCACCATTCACACAGGTCACCATTCACGCAGGTCACCATTCACGCAGATCACCATTCACACAGATCACCATTCACACAGGTCACCATTCACACAGATCACCATTCACACAGGTCACCATTCACGCAGGTCACCATTCACGCAGATCACCATTCACACAGGTCACCATTCACACAGGTCACCATTCACACAGATCACCATTCACACAGGTCACCATTCACACAGGTCACCATTCACGCAGGTCACCATTCACACAGGTCACCATTCACACAGATCACGCCATTCACGCAGGTCACCATTCACACAGATCACCATCGGAACACAACGGTCATAATTCGTGGTTCACCATTACTAGACGATCGCTTTTCTAATGTCTTGGCGTTTGCGTTCACCGGCTGCTCCTTCTGCACGTCAGATGTGTACAGAAAGTGTTTTCCCAGAGTCCGGAGCATGATGGTGGAAATCTGATCTGGATCCTAAACCTGAAATATATCCTTCAATAGCCACGAAGGATACAAAGTCATTTTATGAGCAGCAAACCCGGATATTACAGTGATGTCATCACTAGGTTGTACTTAGCCTGTGCAGAGAGCAGAGCTGTGGGAGGGGTCTGTCAGTCTCCACCCACTACAGGCTGCCTGCAGAAATCTACAGGAGGGGGTGGAGACAAGACCAGTCCCCCTGCACAAGGAGAGAGGGCAGCAGTGAGCGGTCTTTATTACAGGAAGTCTCACACGGGACGACTGCACAGATCTGGAAGAAAGACACAAAGCACATTGAGAGTGGATTTGTGCTAGGAGGGGGATATGATGGAAGGGATGAGAGAGGGGGATTTGGGGGAGGATATGTGCTGGGAGAGGGGATTTGGGGGGAGGATTTGTGCTGGGAGAGGGGATTTGGGGGGGGAGGATTTGTGCTGGGAGAGGGGATTTGGGGGGAGGATTTGTGCTGGGAGGATGGGAGAGGGAAATTGGATGGGGAGGAGGATTTGTGCTAGGAGAAAGGATTTTGGGGGAAGACATGTCCTGGGGGGGGAGGTTTGGGTGAGGGAGATGAATTATGCTAGAAGGTGAAATTAGAGGGGAGGGGATTTGTGCTAGGAGGAGGATATGATGGAGGGGATGATTTGTGCTAGGAGGGGGATATGATGGAGAGGATGATTTGTGCTAGGAGGGGGATATGATGGAGAGGATGATTTGTGCTGGGAGAGGGGAATTGAGTGGGAAAGAGGATTTGCGGTAGGAGAAGGGATTTTGGGGGAAGACATGCTGGGGGGGGAGGTTTGGGTGAGGGAGATGAATTATGCTAGAAGGTGAAATTATGCTAGGACGAGGATATGATGGAGAGGATGATTTGTGCTAGGGGGGGATGAGAGGAGAGGATTTGTGCTAGGAGAGGGGAATTGAGTGGGGATTGCGGTAGGAGAAGGGATTTTGGGGGAAGACATGGGGGGGGGGAGGTTTGGGTGAGGGAGAGGAATTATGTGGACTATTAGGGGTGAGAGGATAGTGCTAGGGGGGGGGGTTTTGTGTTAGGTTTGTGAGGGGTTGTGCTATCTAGGAGGGGGGAGTTGTGGGGGGTTGTGCTATCTAGGAGGGGGGAGTTGTGAGGGGTTGTGCTATCTAGGAGGGGGGAGTTTGTGGGGGGTTGTGCTATCTAGGTGGGGGAATTTGGGGGGAGTGGATTTGTGCTAGGAGAAGGGATTTTGCGGGAATATTTGTTCCAGGGGGGAGGTTTGGGTGGGGGAGAGGAATTATGCAAGGAGGTGGGATTGGGGGAGGGATTTGTGCTAGGAGCGGATATTTGGGGGTGAGAGAATTTATGCTAGGAGGGGTGATAGGGAGGGGGGCACTTTTTGCTAGGAGAGATTTTGAGGGGGTATTTAATCTAGGAGTGAGGATTTGGGAGGGGGAATGCTAGGGGAGGGCATTTGAGGGAGGATTTGTGCTTCAAGGGGAAATTTGGTGTGGGGAGGGGATGATATGTGCTTGGATGGAGGATTTATGCTACGAGGGGGGATTTGGCAGGGGAAGGGGGGGATTGGTAGAGAGGATTTTTTCTAGGAGGGATTATGGGGGTACAATTTGTGCTCTGTGGGGGATTCGGGGGGATGTGTGCCAGTAGGAGGGATTTGGGGGGGATTTGTGCTAGGAGGGGGGGAAGAAGTCATTTCAGCAGGGGAGGGATTTGTTCTGGGAGGGATTTGTTCTGGGAGGGATTTGTACTGGGAGGGATTTGTTCTGGGAGGGACTTTGTACTGGGAGGGAGATTTGTACTGGGAGGGACTTGTTCTGGAGGGATTTGTACTGGGAGGGACTTGTTCTGGGAGGGATTTGTACTGGGAGGGACTTGTTCTGGGAGGGATTTGTAGTGGGAGGGATTTGTTCTGGATGGATTTGTACTGGGAGGGAGTTTTGTTATTACTGGGAGGGATTTGTAGTGGGAGGGACTTGTTCTGGGAGGGATTTGTATGGGAGGGACAGGGATAGTGGGAGGGGGGATGGGGGAGGAGTTTTGTATTACTCTCATTATACAGGTAATCTATCAGGAATTGTCCCCTTTTGTCTCGTAGTCCTGCACAAGCAGCCGCGGGAGGTGTGTCTCTGCCTGCTGGAGTTGGGCCGGATAGCCGCGAGGTAGGAGAACTCCTTCTGGATTCACATTTTCGGCATATTTTACGTCTCGGACTTTTTTTTTTTTTTGTTCCTTAAAATAACAACATTTGTCTTGAAATAATAAACCTTTTTTTTTTTTTTTCACTCCTGTAATAATAACCTCCTGGAAGCGAAGCGTTCGGTGTGACCGATAATGAACATCTTGTGAGCAAATGTTAGAGGGAGAAGGCGCGGAATTCCACCGCGGCGGATTAAAGGGGAACTCCTGAGCAGAAACGATCCGGGAACATTTCTATATCGTTACCATGGTTACTGTACAGGATTAATATCGTACCAACAAACTGAACAGCGATTCACAATATACAGGGAGCAGGGGCGGACTGACCGTTCGAGTACTCGGGTACTGCCCGAGGCCCCGGGGTCAGTAGGGGGCCCCATGACATGCCCCTGGTACCTTTTCCATAGGCTTTTTTGGGTGTGGTTTAAAAGTGGGTGAGGCCCCATGATCCCCTATTGCCCGGAGGCCCCATGAGTTGTCAGTCCGCCCCTGAAAGGGAATACATATTAGGACCAGAGGGTGAGGGACGATGGAGGAGTGCAGTTGTTAGGTAGAGGTGGGATCAGGGGCAGACTGACAACTCATGGGGCCCCCGGGCAATAGGGGATCATGGGTAAAGGTTCCAGGTTCCAGGTGTACCGGGCAGTCTTGCACAGGTGTACCGGCTCCTCCCCTTCAGTCTTGCACAGGTGTAGTGGCTCCTCCCTTTCAGTATTGCACAGGTGTATCGGTCCTTCCCTTCAGTCTTGCACAGGTGTACCGGCTCCTCCCCTTCAGTCTTGCAACAGGTGTACCGGCTCCTCCTCTTCAGTCTTGCACAGGTGTATCGGCTCCTCCCCTCTAGTCTTGCACAGGTGTACCGGCTCCTCCCCTTCAGTCTTGCACAGGTGTACGGCTCCTCCCTTCAGTCTTGCACAGGTGTACTGGCTCCTCCCCTTCAGTCTTGCACAGGTGTACTGGCTCCTCCCCTTCAGTCTTGCACAGTGTACTGGCTCCTCCCCTCCAGTCTTGCACAGGTGTATCGGCTCCTCCCCCCTTCAGTCTTGCACAGGTGTACCGGCTCCTCCCCTTCAGTCTTGCACAGGTGTACCGGCTCCTCCTCTTCAGTCTTGCACAGGTGTACCGGCTCCTCCCCTTCAGTCTTGCACATGTGTACTGGCTCCTCCCCCGGACTGAAACAGTTTCTTCTGATGTCACTGCACACTGGGAGCTTCTCACAATGTACATTAGAAGCTGCAGCCAATGAGATAGAGCTCTGCCTCATTTCCTGGCTGGAGGACGTCCAGCATCATTTAGCTCTCCCCTGCCTTACTGTCCCTGGCCCCGCCCCTTTTTATCCATTGGACTTAGGTTCTTTCAGTCCTAGAGACTCCGCATCACATGGGGGCGTTCTGTGAATACAGCCCGCCTAGGAAAGCCTAGGGATGTTTTCAGGAAGCCTTGCACAGCACCCTGCTGGCCCCTCCCCTCAGTCGTGATCTGCTTTCATTGCATAGAGAAGCACAGAGACCCAGTGATGATAAAGTATGCCATGAAAATGGAAAGGGTTTTTTCTAGTTTCCATCTGCATATTGATGGGGTGGGGGGTGGGGCCCTTAAAGTGAACCCCGCCCTCAGCGGAAAAAACGAACATGAAAACCTTTCATACTGTCACATCGACAATTTTTTTTTTGTGGTAAAATCTGCACCAAGTGTTTGCATTCCATCCAATGCGGAGGTGCCATTTGGGAATGTGGGAGGGGCTTCAGGCAAATGGAGTTACAATGTCTGTGAAATCGTTCTACTTAATAAAAAATCGAGATCAGGGAAGAGAATTGAAGGGATTTTTTTCCCTTTCATTGTTTTCAGGGTCATCCAGGACTTCTGGCCTGCAGAGATTTTTTTTTTTTCCGTCCTGCGCGGCGAGCGTCTCGTATTTCCATTTTATTTTCCGTCATTCTATAAATAGCCGAATGCGTTTTCCTGCCATCTTCGAGGCGGCGTGTAATATCTGCGCGATTTCGGGCCCCGGCAGCTTCTTTTTATGTGCAGGTGTCGGCCCCGGGGCCCGGAGGGAATTCCCAGATTTACGGCCAGAGGCCAGACAGACAGGAAGTCGATGGAATTTTTTTTGTAATCGTCTCATCCAACGGCTGCAATAACAGGCGGGACCGCCGCTCCGAATATCGCCTCCTTGCTGGCACCCGGCGCCGACCACACACACTACAATCCGCCCGTATCGTCCTCCAATCTCACGCTTCACTCCAGAGTCTGCGGCCAATGGGAAGAAGGCTGGGAAGCGCCAGGAAATGTGCGCTTCTCTAGAACTGACGGATGACTGCGTTCACGTGCAGGGGCGGACTGACCATTTGGAAACTCGGGCACTGCCCGAGGGCCCGGGGTCAGTAGGGGGGCCCCATGAGATGCAAAAAAAGGGGGGGTTGTGAAAAGAAATTCACAGAGAAAGTGGCTACATTATGAACAGAATGTGATACTCTCAGAAAAATTTCCAAAAAATTATGCTTTATTACACATACAAATTTGACATTTGGGCAATCGCCCTGGTTTACCATCACCTCAGTATGAGACAATACACACAGACCTAAAACCATGAGATGCCCCTGCTACCTTTTTCATAGGCTTTTTTGAGTTTGGGCAAGGACACAGGGGCCCCATGATCCCCTATTGCCCGGGGGCCCCATGAGTTGTCAGTCCGCCCCTGCTCACGTGTGTTTCATTTATCCAACTAAATAAATAGATTTTTTATTTTTTTTTTTAACCACTCCCAGTCCGGACACTTTCCCCCCCTTCCACCCCGGACACTTTCACCCCCCTTCCAGTCCGGACACTTCCCCCCCTTCCAGTTTGGACACTTTCCCCCCCTTCCAGTTCGGACGCTTTCCCCCCCCCCTTCCAGTCCGGACACTTCCCCCCCCCTTCCAGTTTGGACACTTCCCCCCCCCTTCCAGTTCGGACACTTTCCCCCCCTTCCAGTCCGGACACTTTCACCCCCCTTCCAGTCCGGACACTTTCCCCCTCTTCCAGTCCGGACACTTTCACCCCCTTCCAGTCCGGACACTTTCCCCCCCTTCCAGTCCAGACACTTTCCCCCCCTTCCAGTTCGGACGCTTTCCCCCCCCCTTCCAGGCCGGACACTTTCCCCCCCTTCCAGTCCGGACGCTTTCCCCCCCTTCCAGGCCGGACACTTTCCCCCCCTTCCAGTCCGGACACTTTCCCCCCCTTCCAGTCCGGACACTTTCACCCCCTGCCAGGCCGGACACTTTCCCCCCCCCCCCCCGCCCCCCCCCCCCGTTCCAGTCCGGACGCTTTCCCCCCCCCCACCTTCCAGGCCGGACACTTTCCCCCCCCCCCTTCCAGGCCGGACACTTCCCCCCCTTCCAGTCCGGACACTTTCACCCCCTTCCAATCTGGACACTTTCCCCCCCTTCCAGTCCAGACGCTTTCCCCCCCCCCTTCCAGTCCGGACACTTTCCCCCCCCCCTTCCAGTCCAGACACTTTCCCCCCCCCTTCCAGTCCGGACACTTTCCCCCCCTTCCAGTCCAGACACTTTCCCCCCCCCCTTCCAGTCCGGACACTTTCCCCCCCTTCCAGTCCGGACACTTTCCCCCCCCTTCCAGTCCAGACACTTTCCCCCCTTCCAGTCCGGACACTTTCCCCCCCCCCTTCCAGTCCGGACACTTTCCCCCCTTCCAGTCCAGACACTTTCCCCCCCTTCCAGTCTGGACACTTTCCCCCCCCTTTCTGTTCGGACGCTTTCCCCCCCCTCTTCCAGTCCGGACACTTTCACCCCCCTTCCAGTCCGGACACTTTCTCCCCCCCTTCCAGTCCGGACACTTTCCCCCCCTTCCAGTCCGGACACTTTCACCCCCTTCCAGTCCGGACACTTTCCCCCCCCCCCTTCCAGTTCCGGACAGTTCCCCGCTTCCCCCCCCCCCCTTCCAGTCCGGACACTTTCACCCCCTTCCAGTCCGGACACTTTCACCCCCTTCCAGCCCTGACACTTTCACCCCCTTCCAGTCCGGACACTTTCACCCCTTCCAGTCCGGACACTTTCCCCCCCTTCCAGCCCGGACACTTTCCACCCCTTCCAGTCCGGACACTTTCCCCCCCTTCCAGCCCGGACACTTTCACCCCCCTCCAGTCCGGACACTTTCCCCCCCCTTCCAGTCCGGACACTTTCCCCCCCCCCCCTTTTTTTCCATTCCAGTTCGGACGCTTTCCCCCCCCCCTTCCAGTCCGGACACTTTCACCCCCCCTTCCAGTCCGGACACTTTCACCCCCTTCCAGTCCGGACACTTTCCCCCCCCCCCTTCCAGTTCGGACGCTTCCCCCCCCCTTCCAGTCCGGACACTTTCACCCCCTTCCAGCCCTGACACTTTCACCCCCTTCCAGTCCGGACACTTTCACCCCTTCCAGTCCGGACCCCCTTTCCCCCCCTTCCAGCCCGGACACTTTCCACCCCTTCCAGTCCAGACACTTTCCCCCCCCTTCCAGCCCGGACACTTTCACCCCTTCCAGTCCGGACACTTTCCCCCCCTTCCAGTCCGGACACTTTCCCCCCCTTTCCCCCCCCCCCCTTCCAGTTCGGACGCTTCCCCCCCCCCTTCCAGTCCAGTCGACACTTTCACCCCCCTTCCAGTCCGGACACTTTCACCACCCCCTTCCAGTCCGGACACTTTCACCCCCTTCCAGTCCAGACACTTTCACCCCTTCCAGTCCGGACACTTTCCCCCCCCTTCCAGCCCGGACACTTTCCCCCCTTCCAGTCCGGACACTTTCACCCCCCTTCCAGTCCGGACACTTTCACCCCCCCTTCCAGTCCAGACACTTTCACCCCCTTCCAGTCCGGACACTTTCACCCCCCTTCCAGTCCGGACACTTTCAGTCCGGACCTTTCAGTCCGGACACTTTCCCCCCCTTCCAGTCCGGACACTTTCACCCCCCTTCCAGTCCGGACACTTTCACCCCCTTCCAGTCCGGACACTTTCACCCCCCTTCCAGTCCGGACACTTTCACCCCCTTCCAGTCCGGACACTTTCCCCCCTTCCAGCGCAGGCCAATTTTCAGCTTTCAGCGCTATCACACTTTGAATGACAATTGCGCGGTCATGCAACACTGTACCCATCTGAATTTTTTTGCATTTTTTTGAGACAGATAAAGCTTTATTTTGGTGGTATTTATTCACCGCTGGAATTTTCATTTTTTTTTGCTATATAAATGAAAAAGTCCAAAAATTTTGAAAAAAGGTGTTTTTTCTTATAACATTTTGCAAATAAATAATATTTCGTCATAAATCTTGGTCAGAATTTATTCGATTATCTTTTTAGTAAAAAAAAATTAACCCAAATTATTTTATAGCCAAAAATTATAATTTTTTTAAAACATTTTTTACATTTTTATTTTATTTTTTTTTATATTATTACTTATGGGTTTTTTTTTAACATACTATCACCCTAGCAGTAGTGTCACCATAGTAACACTGTACTACTTGTGGGGGGTGATGAAGATTTTTTTTTTTTTTATACTGACCTTTAGAGCCCTGGTGCAAAAATAACATAAAGGGCCCCCCTGACTGGGACCCTTTACCCATCACTGGGCCCTTTATTATGGTCCCTTTTGCATGTCCTGCACTGGGCCCCCTTCCTGCCCTTGATGGTGAAATACCAGGTTGCAAGGGCAACCTTTGCGACCCTGGTAGTTTCGCCGCAGTAGTTTTTTTTTATTTTTGATATTTTATTTGTTATTATTTTTGACCACCTAATTTACTTTATTTTAAAAATTAAAATTTTTATTATTTTCTTCAATTATCTAAGAGCCCCGTTGGGGGGGGGGTTGGTGAGATATCGGGGATCTAAACAGACCTTTGGTGTTATTCGTTTTTCATTTTTATTATTTTATGTTTTACCATTGTATTTATTTATTTTTAAAACTGTATTTTTTATTATTTTTTTTACAATTTTTTTTAGGAGCCCCATTGGGGGACTTTGGTAAGATATCAGGGGTCTAAACAGACCTCTAATATTTCACCTTTAGGACAGAGAAAAGTAGAGGACACCTCAATCTCCTTCTCTGCAGCCTCAGCTGTACAGAATGAATGGACAGGAATAGCTCTGCCATTGTGGGCCCTCCCCATGGTGGCGGAACTCCAGGGCCCAGTCGCAAGTGCAACCTTTGCAACCCTGGTAGTTCCGCCACTGGTGTCAGTAGTTTTTTATTATTGCTATTATATTTTTTTTTTATTTTTTAACATTTTGTTTATTTTTACCATTTTTCTTCTTTTTTTTTTTACTTCCTACAATTTTTTTAGGAGCCCCGTTAGGGGGCTTTGGTGAGATATCAGGGGTCTAAATTGACCTCTGATGTTTCACGTTTAAAACAGAGAAAGTAGAGAGGACACCTCAATCTCCTCTGCTGCCTCATCTCTACAGAATGAATGGACAGGACTAGCTCTGGGAACGCCAAGGCCCAGTGGCAAGTGCGACCTTTGCAACCCTGGTAGTTCCGCCACCAGTGTCAGTAGTTTTTTATTTTTGCTATTTTATATTTTTTACCATTTTATTTATTTATTTTTACTTTTTTTTTTTTCTTTAAATATTTTCTACAATTTCTTAGGAGCCCCGTTGGGGAGCTTTGGTAAGATATCAGGGGCCTAACAGACCTCTGTTGCTTCACCTTTAAGACAGACAAAAGCAGAGGGCACCCCAATCACCTTCTCTGCAGCCTCAGCTGTATGGAGATTCCCATTAATTCACAAACTGAAGCATAGTAAACAGTTTACTATGCCACAGTTGTGAATGAACACAGCCAGTGATTGGTACGGCTCATTGATTCTATTCACAAAGACAAGGAAGTGGCCGGTAAATATATTTACCGACCCCTTCTCCGCTCTCCATCCTGACAGATCCCCCGCAGCAGCCGGCGGGAGAGGGGAAAACCAGGCAGCACTGCAGAGGATGAAGGGGGGGAGGGGCAAGGGGATCACACAGGGGCCCAGGGCAGCAGAAGGTAGATAGGAGGGGTGGTGGGAAGGCATGTGGAGGAACCGATCCCCTGCATTTTCCTCCTGCAGCTGCTGAAAGGATTTGAAGTCCCAGAGGTGTGTGTCTCCTTTAAGAATGGGCGGAGTCCTTGGTGACACCCCTTCCGACACATAGCTGTGCGATACGTGTTGGCGGTGGTCTGTCTGCTGTAACCATACGCTCATCATGTGACTCCATTCTGATTGGCAGGTTCGGTGTGGAGCCGCCGGGTTTGATCAAACTGGAGAAGGAGATTGAGCAGGAAGAGACGTTATCGACCCCGACGCCGTCACCGACCCCTTCCCCCACAAAGTCGCCGTCTGGAAAGAAGAGCGCTGGGAAGCTATTAGATGATGCGGTAAGACTACATGGATGATGTTTATCGATGTTTATAAAAACAATGTTACTTTGTATCTCTATCTCCCGTCTGATCGATGTTTATAAACAATGTTACTTTGTATCTATTTCCCGTCTGATCGATGTATCGATGTTTATAAACAATGTTACTTTGTATCTCCCGTCTGATCGATGTTTATAAACAATGTTACTTTGTATCTCTCTATCTCCCGTCTGATCGATGTTTATAAACAATGTTACTTTGTATCTCTATCTCCCGTGATCTGATCGATGTTTTAAACAATGTTACTTTGTATCTCTCTATCTCCCATCTGATCGATGTTTATAAACAATGTTACTTGTATCTCTCTATCTCCCGTCTGATCTCCTCATCTGATCGATGTTTATAAACAATGTTACTTTGTATCTCTCTATCTCCAGTCTGATCGATGTTTATAAACAATGTTACTTTGTATCTCTCTATCTCCAGTCTGATCGATGTTTATAAACAATGTTACTTTGTGTATCTCTCTATCTCCCGTCTGATCGATGTTTATAAACAATGTTACTTTGTATCTCTCTATCTCCCGCCTGATCGATGTTTATAAACAATGTTATGTTGTATCTCTCTATCTCCCGTCTGATCAATGTTTATAAACAATGTTACTTTGTATCTCTCTCTCCCGTCTGATCGATGTTTATAAACAATGTTACTTTGTATCTCTCTATCTATCTCCTCGTATCTCCCGATCGATGTTTATAAACAATGTTACTTTGTATCTCTCTATCTCCCGTCTGATCGATGTTTATAAACAATGTTACTTTGTATCTCTCTATCTCCCGCCTGATCGATGTTTATAAACAATGTTACTTTGTATCTCTCTATCTCCCGTCTGATCGATGTTTATAAACAATGTTACTTTGTATCTATCTCCCGTCTGAGCGATGTTTATAAACACTGTCCATGGTAATTGTTGCTCATCAAGTCCCGTCTGTCATTTGGAGAGTCAGGAATTGACAGGTTAACACCTTGTAGAGTTTGTATGCTCTCTGGCCTCCCTCTGTGGTGACACGGTGTCATGGCATGCACATACAGATGTGAGTCTGGGGACTGAGGGGGTGCAGAGCTGCGTGCACAGTGTACTCGTAGTGCCCGGCGAGGGAAGCGCGCGGATCTGGTTGTGTTTGTTTGTTTTCCCTTTAGAAAGGAATTTTTTCAGCAGAACCGCAGCCTAACCTGCCTCCCCTGTGTTTCAGGTGCAGCATATCTCTCAGGACCCTCCATGTAAATGTCCCAACAAGTTCTGTGTGGAGCGCCTCTCCCAGGGGAGGTACAAAGTGGGAGAGAAGATCCTCTTCATCAGGGTAAGTGTACTGCGCCTTTAAGGGGAGGGGCCATCCGGACAACTGACATGGCTGGCTTACTCTTAAAGGAACAGACCTCATGGCTGCCATGTTACCAAGATGTCCTGGAGCTCCAATCACTGACATTGCCTAGGCTGAGATGATGTCATCAGTCTGCTGCAGGTAGGAAGGAGCATTTCCTTAGTCTCCCCTCCCCCAGTGATCAGACTGTACAATGTAACTTTGCAGAAGGAGGAGGAGGCATTTCCTCAGTCTCTCCTCCCCCAGTGATCAGACTGTACATTGAGGAAATGCTTCCTCCTCCTTCTACAAAGTTACAATGTACAGTCTGATCACTGGGGGAGGGGAGACTGAGGAAATGCCTCCTCCTTCTACAAAGTTACAATGTACAGTGTGATCACTGGGGGAGGAGACTGAGGAAATGCCTCCTCCTCCTTCTACAAAGTTACAATGTACAGTCTGATCACTGGGGGAGGAGACTGAGGAAATGCTTCCTCCTCCTTCTACAAAGTTACAATGTACAGTCTGATCACTGGGGGAGGGGAGACTGAGGAAATGCCTCCTCCTTCTACAAAGTTACAATGTACAGTGTGATCACTGGGGGAGGGGAGACTGAGGAAATGCCGCCTCCTCCTTCTACAAAGTTACAATGTACAGTGTGATCACTGGGGGAGGAGACTGAGGAAATGCTTCCTCCTCCTTCTACAAAGTTACAATGTACAGTCTGATCACTGGGGGAGGGGAGACTGAGGAAATGCCTCCTCCTTCTACAAAGTTACAATGTACAGTGTGATCACTGGGGGAGGAGACTGAGGAAATGCTTCCTCCTCCTTCTACAAAGTTACAATGTACAGTCTGATCACTGGGGTAGGGGAGACTGAGGAAATGCCCCCTCCTCCTTCTACAAAGGTACAGTCTCCCCTCCCCCAGCGATCAGGAGGATGTATGAGGGACTCTGGTGGGGACTCTGATGTAAGGGGGGACTCTGATGTAAGTCAAATGCATTCATTTCTATACATTTTATTTGTTCATTTATAAAACTGAATTTTTTGGCCCTCAAATATTTGTAGAATATATTCTGTGGCCCTCATCCTGAGAGTCCCGGGGCCCCCGCTGCCCGCGGTTCCTCTTCCTGCAGATTGTCGGGTCGGGCCGTATTATTGGCTGTGAGGAATATTTCCTGGTATCAGAGCCAGACATGAACACGGGATCCCGGCACCCAGAGGCGGGCGGTCGCAGAATGCATGGTGGGATGAGAAGTCGCTAGCGGGCGGCGTCAGTGAATTCTTTGCCTAGTAGCTGCCCCCTACCATGGCAACGAACATGAGAACATCCCACCAATAAAATGGCGGCCGGCCTGCCGCGTAGAAGTGATGGACGCGCACGGAAGCGCTGTGAGGACGGGCGACCCCGGAGATCCGAGGGTCCCCCCCGGTGCATTATTCAGCGTTTCAATGGGAGCGGAGGAGCTCGGCGGACGTCGTTGGGCATCGATCGGCGTTGAGTATCGATCGGCGTCGGTGCGCGCAGCGTCCAGGGCGAGGCGGCCGGTCCCCCAGAGGGATGGGGCGTAATCCGGTCACCTTGGCAACAGAGCCGGGATCTCTCTTCGGGGATTTGCAGGCGGCGGAGGCATTAGCAGTGATGTATGCGACTCGGCCGCTGAGCGGGATTGATGGCTGCTTAGTACATTATAAATCGCAGCGTCGCCCGAGGCGGCCCCACCAAAATTAAACACGCACCTAATTTATGATAGAAGTCGGTGAGACCGCAGCCCGCCATCGCCTGCATCACCCCCCCGTGAAGGTGCGACGTGAAGATTTTCAACGATTTCTTGCAATTTGCAGTACGTTTTCAGCTGCGATTTCTGAGGATTTTATTGCAACGTGAAGATTTTCCGCGATTTCTTGCAGTTTGCGGTGTGATTTCAGCAGCGATTTCAGAGGATTTTATTGAGACGTGAAGATATTAAACGATTTCTTGCAATTTGCGGTGCGATTTCAGCGGCGATTTCTGAGGATTTTATTGCGACGTGAAGATTTTCAGCGATTTCTTGCAATTTGCGGTGCGATTTCCATTCTATGTACTGTATGTGAAATCGCAATAAACTGCTGAAAAAGTAATACTTTGGAAGTCGCTCTGCAGCAAATTACGGCGGGAATCCCTACACACTGTCCAGGTCGCAGCCTCTGTTGGCGGGGAATCGTCTCTCACTTCCTGCGCGTTGCGGGAAAAGAACCTTCCAAATAACAAGGTAACAATTTTCCGTAGAAGCCGATATTTCCCGGAATCTGCCAATAGCTGCGTGCTCGGATCTCGCCGTCTTCTCCGCCATACCTGTCAGCGTGCCCCCCCCCCCCCACGGCTCTGACATGGAACTCGGAGATTTAATTAAAACACGCAAACGGCTCACCACCGAAAATTGTCTGTCGGAGAACGAGGGGAGAGGGGGACCCCAATACATCACCTGAATGGGCTCTGCTGACCTCGGCTGGTATTAAAACTTGGTGGGGGTTTTTTTTTTTCTCAAACCGCAATTGTCACCCAGTGGGCTCATCCAGGGGCGGACTGACAACTCATGGGGCCCCCGGGCAATAGGGGATCATGGGGCCCCTGTGTCCTTGCCCAAACTCAAAAAAGCCTATGAAAAAGGTACCAGGGGCATCTCATGGGGCCCCCTACTGACTCCAGGCCCTTGGGCAGTGCCGGAGTTTCCAAATGGTCAGTCCACCCCTGGGCTCATCTACAAAAAAGATCTCCAGTAAGACCCCCGCTATGTGAGAGGTAAAATGCCCAAAAAATTTGAGAAAAATCCTTCATGCTTCCATCATATGTAACTACAAGCGTAAAGATGAACTCCAGACCAGAGGCGGACTGACGATTTGAGCTTAAAGAGATCATTAGTGTCATGCCGATGATTCTGCCAAGTGGTGTTGGCCCCAGAATCTATGAAGACACCAGTAAAGGAAGGTCATTTAGCCACAGCTCAAAGAACCTCTGAGGGACCATATACAGTACCATTGTGATAGAAGCTTATAATTCCAACTCTTCAGAGGATGACACTGAGTCTTAGTTCAGTCTGTGGTGGCCTTTCTAAACCTTTCACCCCAGAGGAACCCTTAAAATAAATTTCAGGTCTTGGGGGAACCACTGATAAAAGTAGTTTATTGAGTGTCAGTGGTAAATATGCCTCCTACATTGGTGGTCAGAGGGAAAAATGCCCCCTACATTGGTGATCAGAATACAACCTGGTGTTGGGCCAAGAACTATACAGGCTCCAGTAAAGGAAGGCCAATCAATCACTATTCAAGGAACCTCTGAAGGACTACAGTATATGCCATCATGGTAGGAGCTTGTAGTTGACTTCCACCTCTTCAGATGATGACGCTTAGTCTTAGTTCAGTCTGTGGTGGCCTTTCTCAACCTTTTAGCCCAGAGGAACCCTTAAAATAAAAATCAGGTCTTAGGGGAACTCCTGCTAAAAAGTAGTTTATTGAGGCTGAGGTGGAAAAATGCCCCCTACGTTGGTGATCAGTGGGAAAAATGCCTCCTACATTGGTGATCAGAATACAACTTTTCACCACAGATATAAAGATCATTGGTGTCCTGCCAATGACTTTGCCAAGTGGTGTTGGGCCAAGAACTATGCAGGCTTCAGTAAAGGAAGACCAATCAGCCACTACTCAAGGAACCTCTGAAGGACTATATGCCATCATGGTAGGAGCTTGTAGTTGTCTATGCTGGCCTTTCTCAACCTTTTTACTCCAGAGGAAACCTTAAAATAAAAATCAGGTTTTAGGGGAACTCCTGCTAAAAGTAGTTTATTGAGGCTCAGAGGGGAAAATGCCCCCTACATTTGTGATCAGAATACCACCCTTAACAAGAGATATAGAGATCATTGGTGTCATGTCGATGATTCTGCCAAGTGGCGTTGGCCCCAGAATCTATGAAGGCACCAATAAAGGAAGGTCAATTAGCCACAGCTCAAGGAACCTCCTAGGGACCATATACAGTACCATCATGATAGGAGCTTATAGTTCCAACTCTTCAGAGGATGACACTGAGTCTTAGTTCAGTCTGTGGTGGCCTTTCTAAACCTTTCACCCCAGAGGAACCCTTAAAATAAATTTCAGGTCTTGGGGGAACCACTGATAAAAGTAGTTTATTGAGTGTCAGTGGTAAATATGCCTCCTACGTCGGTGGTCAGAGGGAAAAATGCCCCCTACATTGGTGATCAGAATACAACTTTTCACCACACATATAAAGATCATTGGTGTCCTGCCAATGACTTTGCTAAGTGGTGTTGGGCCAAGAGCTATACAGGCTCCAGTAAAGGAAGACCAATCAGCCTCTACTCAAGGAACCTCTGAAGGACTATATGCCATCATGGTAGGAGCTTGTAGTTGTCTATGCCGGCCTTTCTCAACCTTTTTACTCCAGAGGAACCCTTAAAATAAAACTCAGGTCTTAGGGGAACTCCTGCTAAAAGTAGTTTATTGAGGCTCAGGTGGAAAAATGCCCCCTACGATGGTGGTCAGTGGGAAAGAAAGTCCCCTACATTGGTGGTCAGAATATAAAGATCAGTGTCATGCCAGTGCCAAGTGGCATTGGTCCCAGAACTAGGAAGGCACCATCTAATGGGAGGCCAATCAGCCACAGCTCGAGGAATCCCTAGCCACCTCTGATGGAACCCTAGTTGAGAATGTCTGGTCTATCCCATGGGTGGAGATACTGAAAAGTGCGCGGCGTCCGATGGCGCAGTAATGAGATTATGACGGCTCTGTCCTGAAGTCGCACTGAATTACGGTGTAATCGTCTCTGAGTGTTCTCCAATACGTCTGTATCATCTCCGGGATGTGACACCGTCTTATTAAGTGTCGGCGGCTCCCAATCTGTAATATCGCTCCACCATTCATCATGACGGCTTCAGGAAGGCAGAATGGTGTCTGCGGCCTCTGCGGGATAAGTGATTACAGGGATAAGACGATTGAGGCAGAGAG